AAAAAAAAAAACGAGAAATTAGTTAGAAGATTTTTGATTGTAGTCAAAGATAAATACACACACATAAATACCCTAAAAGATACAAACAACGTTATGTTTAGAGGTAAAATAATTTAGTAAAGTACGAAAAAAAATTAATAAATTTTGAACGGTAAAAAGAAAAAGAAGTAACAGATATAGAAAAAATTGTTTTATTTATATATTTCTCTTATCAATAAACACAGAAATACTTTTTTTCGTAGTACCATTTTTTTTCTAATTAACTAATTATTTGAACACTTTCTTTTCTTCAATTTTCGTTATTGAATGCGTTGTTTCAAAAATATCAACGTTTGTACTATGAAGTATATGTTATTGAAGGACAAAAAAAAAAAAATCTGCAAAAAAACAACCTGTTTTTTCGCTATTTTTTTCTTCAACTTTTTTCTCGATATTCTGATTCTGTTAGACACTGTATGTTGTACCATTTTATTGTTCTCATCATTTGATATTACTGCTGCTGATGATAATGCTGTTGTTGTTGTTGTTGTTGTTAAAGGTAATGATGTTGATGATGATGATGAAAATGAAGATAGTGCTACTATTGGTACTGTTAGTTGAGGGTACCTCAGACAGTTTAAACAACTGTCTCAGTTAAATTTAATCAGAAGAAACAAAATCAACCAGGGAATTTATAGATTTATTTATTCATTCACTCATTCACTCTGATTCATTTACACAGTTATTTATTCAGTTCATTTTTGAACAAACGAGGAGGTTTCTGTGTTTGGGTCTGTTTTAATTTGTGTTTGTATGTTAACCTGTAATTTTATTGTAAATTTTTTTCTTTATTGTACTTTTATGTGACAATTGTAATTAAATGTGTAAGAAAATTGCAACTATAAATGGTTGGAAAGAAAGATTTTTTGGTTTTTTTTTAGACTTCAAGTCTTTATTATTTCATTTATTTATTTTGTATAATTTTGTTCTTACAGTTGTTGATGCGTTTTCTTTTTTGTTCTTTGCTTGTCAATTATTCAATTTTTAATAAATAACCTATCAATTGTTATTATTTTTATTTCTGTTTCTTTGAAGACGATTTTAACAGAATGAAATCAATAGTATTTGAGGTTGAATTTATAGTTGGGAAAAAATAAATGAATTAAACCAATTTATGTAATTCTTTTTTTTGTTGTTGAAAGGTGTTGGTATTTGATCAAACGGTAAATTGGTCATCATTTAATTTATTCTATAAAACTGTAAGTTTCTTTCTTTTTTTTTTTGTTGGCTTTAATTGGAAGACATCTAAAAAAAATAATGACTTTTGTGTTTAGTCGTTTGACAAGCCTTTTTTTTTTTTTGTCTTATAATTTCAGTTTTTCTTTATCATTTTTATACAGTAATGACTATTTGCTAAATTATAAATGTTGACTTTGTTTACCGAACTGTTCAGGTTGCAATTCTGTTTATTTTGATGACAGTCCAATGTTTTGGATACAGGAAACCGGTGTTGATCGGTTCACAGTCTATTAGTCTGTTATTTTGGTTTTTTTAAAAAGTTAACTGTAACCAACAACGAACAGTCTGAACTAAAAGATCTCGATCTGAAAAACTTAGAAGAAAAAAGAAACTTAACAGTTTTGTTGTTCTTTCTTTTCTCTTTTCTTCGGTATTATATTGTCGTTGTTTCCTCTTTTTGTTGTTTCAGAAAAAAAAAAAGAATAAAAAACTATTGTATTGATAGAAAAGATCATTGGCATAAAGTGTTATAAGTTTAATGAATTATTTGTTGTCATTTGGTCT